CTATGCCCATGATTCCCAGCCTAAACAGAACAGGTTATTTGCCACTGGGATGTGGGATTCCACAGGCCCATTCCCTGATTGTAAATCACACATTTGCAGCATTGTAATCCCAAGTTATCTCGGGAAGGTAACACCCTAAAGTGGTGGCATATAAATCTTTAAAGTAAATATATGAAATTGAGCTGGAACTAGTCAAGCTTTTGAAGAACGGGTGTTGTCTAATATTTGGGACATGAGAAGCCCACATTCAATGCTCCTGCTCTGCTAAAAATCACTTCTTGCCACCACCAATCTAAGCATTATTTTCCCATTGAACTTACAGAATTGTGGCAAAGATGATTAAGGTAATTCTATGCATTCAGAAAGCTTGGTTAAAACATTTGCTTTCCTTTTAAAGAGATAAGATGTAGGTGACTAAGCAAGACACAACTGTACTTTTATTCCAAGTGCTGAAGCAAAATTCAGCACAGCAATTTTAATAGGCTTATATAAACTTCAGAAAAGCTTGAACATTTTGAAGAAATCCAGTGAACCCAGACCAGCCTTCTAGCAAGGAACTTCCAACATATAGCAACTTTTAGAAAATCAGTATCAAAATACATTATTATCCTAACTTCCCTACATTCAGCTAAAACATTTGCCTGTAATAACTGAGAAAGATACCGATGAATCCTGACCAAACCTATTAAGAAAAGCTTCTTTGTACATTTCACCATCCATGCACAGATGCTATATGCGACGGTTTTAATGCACATGAGGCATATAGTAGGAACAACCAGGTCCAGAAAGTAAATACAATATGGAAAATTTATTGTAATAGCACCTTGAAGATGGCCCAACTTCAATCTGAACAAAACTTCACAGGGTTTTTATTTAATAGTAAATGCCAGCTGCAAAGTCAAGCACCCAGACTGTCAGCTATCAGTTGCCCAAATATGCAATTTTTTTAAAAAAGGAACCTGATTGCGCCATCTAGTTGACAGAAAGCATTCTCCAGTGGGTACGCTGCCTGTTGGAACCGGAATGGCAGCAACTGTGGACAAAGACATATCAGAAATCCTCTTTCATTGCACACTTTCTATTCTTCCACATGCTCTGATCATCTAGAAATAAGGATGTAGGGTGGAGGGTGGGGACAGGAAGAGTAGGGATATGTATCTCAACATGTCTAAACTTTTACACATTAATCTAAAATACGTTTTAAACGTCTTTCACAAAAATGGCTTGTTTTACTTATTTAATAAGATTTATATACTGCTTAATCATTCATAAGCTCTAAGCTGCTTACATAGAATATAAAAAGATTCATTCATTGTATCAAAAATGTTGATGAACTGAACATCAAAACCAAGTTAACTGAAAAATCTATCAAAATATAAAACCGGCAGTTGTTAGAAATTATATGTAAACATTACTTGTTTCGGTTGGCTCACATGAATCTGTAGCAGGTGCCCAATCCAATCTAGTGACCAGTTCCTAGACCACTGTGACCAAGCTATTCTAGTCCAGAAGTGGCTGCAACTGTCATACAAACCAAAGCTGAAAAAAGGTGCCCCTAGCTATCGAGGCTACTGGGGCCTCTAATTATGGCACTAGATCCAGAGCACCCCCAAACTGTACACCTGCTCCTTCGGGGAAGGGCAACCCTGTCCAGGGCAGGCCATTTCTCAGAATTTTTAAGGTGCTCAACAATGCAAACAATTTCCTGGAAGTAGACAAACTTGCATACAGCTGCAGTGTTAACCCTCAAAACCACTCTTTGTATTGTTTGAACTGTTGCAGGCGGCAGAAATCAAGAAGGTAAATACATTCACAGACAACAACACACTAGTTAAACCATGAATTATGAGTGGTGTATTAAGCCACAAATTAGTGTGGTGCCTGCGCGCTCCAGTTGCATGGACTTCAGCAGTTCTACTGTGGTTTTCTGTTCTAGTCATTCCAGGAAACTGTGGTTTAATCTCCTGACCCACAAATTTTCAGTCCCTAGTATAAAGAAAAAGTATATACAATCCTATGGAAGGTTATTCACAAGAAGCTCCGCTTACGGGGCTTACTCTATAGTAAGTGTACTTAAGATAGTTGCCATAGGCTATTAATGTAACCCAACAGGTTAAGTCCAGTTGTGGATTTATTTGCTTCAGATGACGCCTCTGCTAACACAGAAAGGGAAGGCAAAGCAACTCACTCATCCTTGCAATAGATTCAACTTGTATTTTCAACACATTTTTAAATAAAAAAAATTATCAGAGCTTGGATTGTTTTTCGAATAGATTAAATGCAGATTATATACGAGTATAGTCCAGTGCCCTCATTAAAGGGATTTGTTTGCTTCTCTCTCTGCCCATCAAATTATTCCATCCCAATCATGTAGTTTTGTTTACACTATTATGAAAATGCACACCTTCCCCAAAGATAATCTTTAAAAATGCAGAGTGCACACAACTTGTAAGTACAATAGATGAGAAGAAAAGAAAGGAAAGATGCTTACTCAAACCTTCTTTGTAAAATATACACAATAAAGAAAAGTGATCTATATGTTAGTTATCAAATAATTTGAATTGCCTAGTTTTACAAATTTAGAATGAGTATGTCCTCCTGTGGAAATCCTGTTCTTATGCACACTTAACTATGACTGACTTACCAAAGTTGACAGGACTCACTTTCCAGTCGATATGCATAGTGTTGTATTGTCAATAGTTGCTTTATAAAATAAGACACAGTTTAAAAAAATGATGCTTTCATCAATGACAAATAGGACCAACACACACTCCTTCACTTTTCTAAAGCTCTAATGAGAAAGCCAGTGTTCCTATCACTTATAGTTCCATAGCTGATTTACAGAGACTAATAGTACCACATAATCTTAGCTTTTTCTATTACACTACATTAGAATCAGAATCAGAAGAATCTTTATTTGCATCAGCCACTAGCCATAGTGATAAAATAAAAATGTTCTGAAGATAGAGGTAAAAACTTAACTATACAAAATACATTTTGGAGGTTTACATCAATAATAAAATAACAGATCTTATTGTAATTGCCTCCGCTAAAAACCTTGCAGTTTTTGCTGTCATCTGATCATCTTGATCTGCTAAAAGAAAGGACACAGTAGCAATGGTTGAGTGACCCAGCATGGACAATAATACAGGGGTAGTAACCTCACTCCTCAAATCTTTATAAAGAGTGCAAGCCAGAAGACATGAGCCACTGATTCAATACTGCCATCTCCACATGGACAGAACCATTTTTCCAGTGGAATTTTTTGAAACAGACGCTCAAGTACAGCTGAAGGCAGTATATTCAATCTTGCGAAAGTGAAAGCGTAACTGTATTTTGCAATTGTTACATTTTGCAAATAGGGTGCCAAAGTGTCAAAATGACTAAGTGGAAAATAATCATACTATGGACAAAATGTCCTTATTGTAGCCAAATTATTCTGTCATTCGATATCATATAGGGACTATCTAATTAACAGTTAATAAATGTTGTGATAAACCAGAAAAGTAAAGCTTTTGGTTGACAATTTTAGTCCAAGCGCTCTCATGACAATCTTGCAATACTAAGGATAGTATACCAGTGAGGTTTAAATTTAGGTGAAGCCAATAATTAAACGTCCTACACAAAATCTGTAATTCAACAGAGGGGAGATTAGCCTCTAAGCACAATGAAGCATTTGGAACACAGGATGGAAGAGGGGGGGAATTGCCTTAGGAACTTAAGATTGAACAGCTTCTGTAGATACAAGGCAAGTGCCTGTACAAATCTGAGCCCCATATAATAACTGTGCTAGGGGTTTACTTTTAAACTAAACTATAATAACTGTGCTAGGGGTTTAGTTTTAAACACAAGTGCTGACGGTATGTGATTGCTACTTTTTGTATGGAAAAAGCGTGTCAGAATGTTGGCACTTTGAGATGGTTTTTCCTTTGCATATTTCTGATGTGCTCCCCATGACCCTGCTGACTGGAAAATAAGGACGAGGTATTTAAAGACTTAGGGATGTGGGTGGCGCTGTGGGTTAAACCACAGAGCCTAGGGCTTGCCGATCAGAAGGTTGGCAGTTCGAATCCCCGCGACGGGGTGAGCTCCCATCGTTCAGTCCCAGTTCCTGCTAACCTAGCAGCTCAAAAGCACGTCAAAGTGCAAGTAGATAAATAGGTACTGCTCTGGTGGGAAAGTAAACGGTGTTTCCGTGCGCTGCTCTGGTTCGCCAGAAGCAGCTTAGTCATGCTGGCCACATGTACGCTGGCTCCCTCGGCCAATAAACGAGATGAGTGCCGCAACCCGAGTTGTCCACGACTGGACCTTACGGTCAGGGGTCCCTTTACCTTTATTTAAAGACTTTAACTTTTTTGATCAACTAATTATCCATATACCATCTATGAGCCCTATAGTTTATTGAAAACACCATTACTTTAGTTTTCTTGTAATTCAGCCAGCTGTTCTCTGAAAAAACACGAAGCCATTAGACTACATGGCCTCCAAGAATAACTGCAACATACGTACTAAACAGGAACCACAGCTCAAATACAACATTTTGCAGATAAAATATAGTTTTCCCCTCTTTTAAACTGAACAAATCAATTTTGGGCACAATCTAGATCATACGTGCTCTGGAACAATCATACTGACTTTAATGGTATCTACTCTAAAAGGCTTGAATTCCAAAAAAAATTATGAAAAAGCATGAAGATGTTTAGTTCATTAAAGGAAACAAGTCAATGAAAAAGAAAGCTGTTTGAAAAGTACTTTGTGAATGAAGTATCTTTATTCCACGGAGCAATAGAATGACAATGTAGTATATACGGTAGGTCTGGGACTTGCAAAATGATCTGCCACAGGCTGAACCACACTCAGCATGTCACTTTCCTTGAAAAACCAGGGAATTTGATTCTATTTTGCTGTAGTACTTAGATGAGTAGTTTCTCAAAACTGTTTAAAAATAAGCCAGTATTTCATAATACAATCCACACCAAAAGGTCACTTTAGCCCATCACCCCAACACCATGAAATCAAGACCACCACCAGAGTAAAACACTAATACTTTATTAAAAATTCAAAATTTATTGCAAATTATATTTTGCTTCTCTCCTTTCTTCATTTTTACATGATTTATTGATATCCATGATTTTTTCACAAATGTACTTGTTGACTTTGGAGAGTCTCTGTGCAATTTCAGTTTCGTCCACAGTTTCTTGTGCTATCCTGTCATACAAACATTCTGAAATGGAAAAAAAAATGGCATTAAGAATGACACCTCAACAAATGTAAAACACAGTCGATGTGACTGAGCAAGGTAACAGGCACATGAAAGAGATAGCAAGAGGGCAGCAGTTTGTTGACAGACTTCAAAAAATTTGGCTTATGCACATGGTTTTGTGCATGCAGATCTCTGGATCATGAACAAAATAATGTACAATAATACTTTCGGCTACATTTTAATACTGCAGTGTGAAATGTTTCTGGTTGATTTGTAGTTTGAATGATAGGCTACTAATCACAACCCAACATTTAACTCCGTTAATATTAAAGGCTATAATCATATGCACACTTCTCCATAGAACACTTTTGAGTAAACAGGTTTAGGATTACATCAAAAAGGAATGCATATAGCATTATTTGACCATTATCTAGCACATATTTACACTTTCTAGCTCTGAAGTCTTGTTTTCCAGGCTAAACATTTCCACTATATCACACAACCATGGTCACAAACTCCAGAGAAAAATCTATGTTTCTCAATGTTCCCTTTGCTGCTGCAGATAGCAGGTTCCCTAGTCATTTCCAACAAACGTTCCCACTTTTTCAGATTTTGTTTTCCTGAATCACACTAACACTGGTAGTCTGAAAAAGTGGAAGCTGACCTATGCTGAACATATAAGTGATGCATTATTCCAGCAGCAGCATACTTCTGTGACAGACAAAGAACTATGAAGCCTCCTCTGGTGGACTTTTGAGGTGCTCTAAAAACATTAATTGAAGTAGGGTTACATTGGCCGACATATTCTATTGGAAAAAGAGCACACAAGAAAGGTGTAGTCAAGAGATACTTCCAAGCAATGTAGCAATGTAGCTGCATCTTTAATGCCCAAGGATACAGTGGTGCCCCGCAAGACGAATGCCTCGCAAAACGGAAAACCCGCTAGACGAAAGGGTTTTCCGTTTTTGAGTTGCTTCGCAGGACGAATTTCCCTATGGACTTGCTTCGCAAGACGAAAATGTCTTGCGAGTCTTGAGATTTTTTTTCCGCTCCCCCCCCCCTTTATCTAAGCCGCTAAGCCTTTAATAGCCTTTTAGCAGCTAATCTGCTAAGCCGATAAGCCTTTAATAGCCGCTAAACCGCTAATAGCGCTAATCCGCTAAAATGCTAATAGGGTTGCTTCGCAAGACGAAAAAACCCGCTAGACGAAGACACTCGCGGAACGGATTAATTTCGTCTTGCGAGGCACCACTGTAGTTGAAGGTAGCTGGCTGAAAGAGATGAGGATATAATCCAGAAACTATAAAGTCATTGTAATCTTTGTTCCAAATTTTGGAAGGAATAAATGGGCTGTAAATAGCCTGGTTACAAAGGCACAACTTTAAGAGGGCGAGCCCTGCTACTCTTAGAACTCCATATACTCTCTCTCTAAACACACATACACCCATGGTGGCAAAGTGGCAAAAAATATAGCCATTGTGCCCGCTGGTCCTTACTATTGCTTTAATGGCTTCCAAACTGATTAAACAACTTCTGCTTTGCCTAGTATTTTCCCCACCAGCAATTTATTGCTTCATATGGTAGAAAACCACAGAGATTCACTTAATTAACAAGTTTTATAGCATTGTTAATGTACCATATTAAAGTTATGACAATTAAATATTCTATACCCTTTTCAGTTTCCTCTGACACCTTTCAGAAGTTTTAGAAAAGGTTATTTTTCAGTGACAGGGTTTACAATGTTTGCATACCATACTTTTTAATAACTTCCTTAAAATAAACTACACAACAGGGACTACTAAAGAGCAAGACATATTAGCCCCATTAAGGCTTTACTCCATTTTTAAAAAAGATGTATTTTAAGGAAGCTATTCTAGGACCAGAGAATAAAAGTAAAAACCACATCAAACATGGATTTTACGAGCTCTCATCTTGAAATGCAAAAATTATTGGACAATGAAAAATATATTTAAAATCCTAGTTATAATCTAAGCTGAAAAGGGTAGCTGCCAATATGCATTAAAATGAGGTCTGAAAGAGCTGGGGGAAGAACCGTGGCTAAAAATGGTGTTCTAATTTAAACAATGACGGATGAACTGTGATCAAGGAAAACTACCTCCCACCCCTTCTTCAGTACCAGAACAGTGAATATTTGAACTGAAAAACAAGGCATAAACACACAGAGAGGGAAATTCAAGTTATTACTGTGCATTATTGAAATCTACCCATGCTGGCTGTTGCTGTTTTATTTCCAGCATGATTCCCAGATGAACCATCATCCCAACGTTAAAATCCATCTCACAGTCTTGCCAGTGAGGGGGAAAAACCAGTACAATAAACCTTGATGTGAACACAGATCTGGTCTAAGTGCATTGTTGCATCACTGCCTACAGACATAACCCTGATGAGTGTGAAAGTTCCACTGATTTCACGAAAATTTCCTAGACACAAAATAGCCTGTGCAGGATCATAAGTTTAGAATGGAGTTGTTAAACTGTTGCAGAATGTTGAGCGACAACTCAGCTTACTCTGCAGACTTCAGCTGTTACTAGGATTTAAGGAGCCACAAAGTCAGCTTCCCTGAACACTACTAATTTTACTCATTCCCAGAACATTGGCTCGAGAGCCCAGAAACACAAGACAGCTGATTAACTAAGCCTGATGCCGCCCCATAACTAAAAATATTTTGGGAGAAAGGAAAGAGCTCCTAGCTATTGGGCTCCACAGGATTATCTCTAGCAGCACAGGAAGATGTCTTATAGTCTACCAAGTGAGAGAGTGGGTTCATATAGCTCAGTACTCTTCACAGTGAACACTGCTGAGCTGCTGCCAGTCAGACGGGTGTCTTTTCCAGCCCTACCCTGAGATAGCAGAGAGTCAACCTGGGCTCTTCAACCTGCATTCAAAGCATTTGCTATGCCACTGAGCTACAGCCCTTCTCCATGCTCATTTCTGCTCCTTCTCAGTAGCACTTGGAGCATCTCAATTTTTTTCTTTCCTTGATTGAAAGCAGTTTCTGCACCACTCCAAGTTAACTTCCTATTCATAAGAGCTGCTCCAGTAGCATCATTGGTTTCCATGCCAATGATAACCTGGCCTACAGTCTTGCAGTGCTGGTGTGAGGACCAGCCTTGTCCACGTGGTTTCTTCAAGTGCTACGAGGAGTTGCCATGCACATATAACTGTGTCCCTGGTTAACAGATGAAGTGGGGCTTACCCTCTCTTGCACTATGCATTGAATTGGATGTGCATAATACTTAGTGAATCCACTTGTTTTCTTAAGCTACGGAGAACTGATATTTATATCCTTATGCATCATTTAGATAGTACCAGACTTAGACGATGTGAAAAGAATGTTTGAGGGTTCCTTGTGATTATGTATTCTCTTTCAGTGATATAAAGAAGTGATCGTGCTATACATGGATACACATCAAGACATGGTACGTGGGAACAAGGCTGACATAAAAAGTCAATTTGGCACAGCCAAGGAGAAATCTGAATACATTTAGTAGAGATGCCCTCCAAATGTTGCCAGACTTCGATTTCCATGATAGGCCCAGGCAGCACGATCAATGGTCAGAGATGATGGGAGCTGTAGTCCAGCAACAACTGGAGGGTCACAGGTTTCCTATCCCTAATATAAAGTATGCAGGTCAGAATATATAAGGTACACCTAAATCCCATTGAGATTAGAGCCTACATATTCAATCCTAGGCATGCGTTTTAAGGAGTAAACTTCACTGAATACAATAGGATTTGCTTCTGAGTAAGCATACATAGGATTGTACAATTAAGCATATTAATCGTACAATTAAGAACATTAATTAAGTACTTAAGTTGCATCTATTTCAATGCATTTTTAACTGGGTTTATTTTTCTCTGGATTGCAACCAAATTTGAAGAAGCTTTGAAACATAGTTCCTTGATTGAAAAAGATAGTCAGACATGCATACTCTTTTACCATTTCTAAAGGTGCTGTCAAACAAAATTTCATATTAGTTTTATTTTCAGAAGCAGGGATTTTCATTCAAATGCCAGATTAAGTATGGCAATGCCTTTCTACTTATCAAACTGCCTTAAGGTGTCTATTTTCCTCTTTAAAATGGATTGCAGATCCTCTGTCTGCATTTTGAATGAAAATTTGGAGATTAGAGAAGTGGAAGGCTTTATATCGACATATATTTTTGTATGTATGTAGCTATACTCTTTTTTGTGTGTGAGAGAATATTTTAACAAAGTCTCAATGCAATGATTGATTAAAGGTGTCCTCATACGCTCAAGATCCACTGGTTGAGGGCCAGAGAATATGGTACAAGTGCTAGTAGAACACATCACTACCATGACAGACACCCTAGTGAAAATATCAAGTACATCAACAGAATGGCTAAAACAGGGCAGAGCTACAGGCAGGAGACACTACGACCTACAATTCTCCAGACTACAGACGTGGCCCCATCAACAGCTGAACATTATATCATGCCCAGCCATGATGCAATTTTTCTCCCACTGACTTAGATGGGAAGGGGTGGGAAACGAAAAATAGTCCATGAAGGTAAAGGACCCTGGACGGTTAAGTCCAGTCAAAGGCGACTATGGGGTTGTGGCGCTCATCTCACTTTCAGGCCGAGGGAGCCAGCATTTGTCCACAGACAGCATGACTAAACAGCTACTGGCGCACGGAGGACAGTGACGAGTGCCAGAGCGCACGGAAACACCGTTTGTCTTCCCGCTGCAGTGGTACTTGCACTGGCGTGCTTTAGAACTGCTAGGTTAACAAGAGCTGGAACAGAGCAACGGGAACTCACCCCATCACAGAGATTCGAACTGCCAACTTTCTGATCAGCAAGCCCAAGAGGCTCAGTGGTTTAGACCACAGTGCCACCCGCATCCCTTTTGTTGTCATATGACAGGCCATATGACACAGTGTAACTCACCACCCAATCACAGCACACTACCACTAGCATATAAACCCAACACAGAGGGAGCAGCCTGCTAAAGAGGAGACATGGTATCCATCTTCAAATATCTGAACAGGTGTCACATGGCAGATGGAGCAAGCTTCTTTTTTCCTGCTCCAGAGGACTCAAACCAATAACTTCATGTTACAAGAAAGGAGATTCCGACTAAACATCAGGAAGAACTTTCTGACAGTAAGAGCTGTCCCACAGTGGAACAGACTCCAATGAAAGGTGATGGACTTTCCGTCCTTGAAGGTTTTTAAGCAGAGGTTGACTAGCCATCTGTCATGTATGATTTAGATGAGATTCCTGCATCACAGGGGGTTTAACTAGATAACCCTCAGGATCCCTTCCAACTCTACAATTCAAGTATTCTATGACTGGGCATGTAGGACAACATACAGACGTCATCAGACCCTGTCTTCTCACTCACCCCAAAACACCTGCTCCAGCTTCAGTGGCTATGGGCTGCTGACTATTACTCATTGTTCCCTGTCAGTGACTCCCTTCTCTTAACAGATACAGGATCTACTTGAAACCTCATTCTGCGCAGACCATGAGAAAGGTCCAACACATGACAAGCAGTAGAGACTAGGACATTTCCAGCTTTTGCTCATAGCATCCTACTTGTTCCAAGCATGTGCATACATCCTTGGAAGATTCATCACAGACACAAAACAGATGAAGGTGTCCCTAGGATGCAGCTGGTGCCACAAGGAGAACCTGCTCTTCTGTCTATTGAGCAACCATCATAAAGAACCTGCTTTGGCCATCCCAGAAAAGTGTTTTTCTCTTTCAGGGTCCACTCTATCCCAGATGCACTGAGTTGAATAAAGGCAATTATTCTGCAACAAGTTGTTGTTTTTTTGTTTTGTTGCTGTTTGTAGGGTCGTACTCAAGTAGGACTCAGGATGGGACTCTGAGAGGGGAAGGAAGGAAGCTTGAAGTGGTGCTTTCAATGGTTGTTCACTCATGAGTGGGCAGGCCTATCAGGTTGCACAAGTTCAATGGTGGCAGTGTGTAGTAGGCAGTCATTTGGCAAGGAAGAAGGAAAAGAGAGAGGCAGAGGCCTACTGAGATTCTACTCAGCAGCGCTGGACTATCAGGCAAATTAGCAAGGAAGGTGACTGGTCACATGGGGTGCTAGGGGAAAGGGTGGACCAAATGGTCTGGTTGGCCCATGCAGCAGCCAGGCTATTGCTTCATGCAGTGCTCCTCCTGATTTGCTAAGGTGTGTCAAGTGGGAGGAGGGGGGCTTCCCATCTTTCCTAGTGTGAGGTTGTACCCTGAATTTTAAACTGGCACTCCTGCCATGTAAAATGTGAGCTGTTCCACCCAGCTATGGCTCCTCCTCCATTCCTTATGCTCCTGGTATCTATGGCTGCGTATGGTGGATGGGGGCAGCATTATCTGGACTCTCCTTTTCTTCTGTGTGTGGTGCTCCAAATGGTGGTTGTGAAGAGAGTAACTCAAGTCAAACCCCTGCCAGGAGAGTTACCTGGGGACTTGCAGTATTGTGGTCATTGATGGCTATGCCAATGGGGTTGGTGGAGTGAGGTGCTCTAATGTTGTGTGTTGGGGTACGACCCTGGCATTGTGAGTTCACTGACTCTCTCCATGTGTGAGTAGGGATAGTGATGGTCAGTTTTCAATGTATGCTAGGGGCACATCTGTTGCTTTCCCACCATTAAAGAAAAAACTGGTTATGTGTTTCCCGCCTCTTCTCCTGGGTTGAGCATGCATAGGATATATGGGCTTTTCTGTTGTTGTAGCAATAGCATATCTCTCCTGCCCACAACAGTGTAACTGGAATGTGGAATTGTGCTGCATATTTGAGTAATTTTTTAAAAAAAAATAAAAAAAAGAGGAAGAAAGATTCTCCCATTTCATCACAGCAGTATTGCATGCTCCAAGTCACGTACCTCTGACAATGCTTAATTTGTGAGGGGACAGAGGAGGTTTGGGAACGGCGTCTTTCTTTTTTTTGGTGGCGACTCCTGTGACGCTTCTGTTCTTAAGAACATCTGTTCCCCAGATCATAACCGCTAAGTTTTTTGTATACTTTGAATCCCCTTGCGTTACTTGCAGTTGGTGCCATTTCTCCTCATCTACCCAGATGCCGCTGCCAAGATGGACCTGAAGTGTAAAGGGAGGGAAATGCAGTCAGTTTTCAAAAAGCAAAGAGCATCCAGATTAGTAGTGATTTGTTTAATATTTCATAAGAACCAGCCACTGATCTTAAAAAATAATACTCCTGCAATATCTCAAGGTATGAAATGTTAGAATTAACTTGAAACTGAGTTCTATGTACATTCATGTAAATTGAAAGCAAGTTGTTCTACAGACAATTATATCAGAAAGTGAATTCATACAACTATATAGGCTCAACGATGATTGAAATACTAGTCTCCAAAAGACATATACACACACAGATATCTATGAATCAGATCTAGGAGTTCCAAGTTACTTTCAAAATCTCTCACATAACTGTGTCTAACACAAGGGAAGACATTCCAGCTCTTCTAAAGCTATGATTTTCATCAGGTGTGTGGTCTGTGAGTACCTTTTGCCGAACAAATGCAAAAACCACCAGGAAAGGAAACCACAACTCAAGAAATGTCTGTAAAGGTCTTCTAGCTTTCTCTTGGCCTGATATGAGGAACATGAAATCCACCTAAATTCCACATGACAAATATTTATGAAGTAGCCTCCTAAATTACCTTTCCATTCTCAAGAATATATTTGTCCATTACTGGAACAGCAGCAGGATAGTATGTTGATGTATTTGCTTCCTCACTGAAAGCATTCTGTACTTCAGGCTCAGGCTCAATGGATTCTGGCTGAACTTTTTCAAGGTCTAGCGCAGGACCTACACAGTCCAGAAAACAGCATTTGAGTATATCAAACAGCATTAATTTAAACAGATTACACTGATTCTATAAAAAACTGGATCTAACTCAAAATCCCAGAGCTCAAAACATGTAATCCACATTCAGTACAAGGAAAGCACAACTCTATCCCAGATTAATGCAGATATGGGCAACATCCAATTGTTGTTGGCATCGGTCTATCTTGAGAGACAATGGAGGAGTGCACATGCAGGGGTAAAGTCAACATATGGTCAGGAGCATGGGTAGGCAAACTAAGGCCCGGGGGCCGGGTGCAGCCCAATCGCCTTCTCAATCCGGCCCGCGGACAATCCTGGAATCAGCGTGTTTTTACATGAGTAGAATGTGTGCTTTTATTTAAAATGCATCTCTGGGTTATTTGTGGGGCATAGGAATTTGTTCATTATATATATATATACATACACACACACACACACACACACACACACACACGACCCCACAAGGTCTGAGGGACAGTGGACCGGCCCACGGCTGAAAAAGTCTGTGAGGGTCAGGAAAGGAGGAGACACTGTGCCTCCTTCCACTGCCCCTGATTGCACTGTGGAGAACAGGAAGGTTTGATCCAGCTGAGTGATTTGCCCTGTACCCGGCAGGCTTAAACAAGCAGTGCGCAATCCTGCTGGGTGTTGCTTTGCAAGTGCCTTCCCTGCGGGGAACATGCTTGCAAAGCAGCACCTTGCAGCTAGCAGGATAGAACCTAGCTTGCAATCCTGCTGGGTGCTGCTTCATAAGCATATTCCCCAAAGGTGTGGTAGCAAGTGGAGGGTTCAATACTGCTGACTGCAAGGGGTCCGCTTCACTAGTGTGTTCCCTACATGGAATGTGCTGGTGAAGCAGCATGCAGCAGGATTGAACCTTCCTGCTCTCTGCAGTGCAGACAGAGGAAGGGAAGGAAACACAATCTATCTCCAAAGCCATGTATGGTGGGGAGGGTAGAAAATGGGCCCAGAGGCAACATGTCAAAAGGCATGTGCTATCTCCAAGCCCAATTCCCCTTCACTTATCCTGGTTGCTTCAAAAGCAGAGGGCAAGACTGAGTCTCCCTTTGCCCCCCAAAGAGCAAGTGGTTTTAGGGCAGGAGACTGGGTGCATAGAAGAACCTTGAGGAAGTCTGCACTGCAGCCAAGAGCTCTTGGACACAGCAGCAGCTTCTGCAGAGTTGTCCTGCCTATCCCTTTCTGTAAGCTGAGCAGGAAGCGCTTGCTTCCAACTCAGCTACCGTAATGATGCTAAGCCAGGGCTTTCTCTTCAATCCTTCCCTGGCTGAATGTAGAAATTCCGTAACTGGAGAACCTGAGAAGAGAATATCTCACTCCTGTATCAACAATTCAAGGGACGGGCAAGACCTATTTCTATCTCGTAACAGGAGTGTGAACAGCATTCCCCTTAGCCACATACAATTCTTGCAGCATGGAGAAATAATACAGAGAACAACCAAAAATGCGGACTCTAAACATTTATTTGTAAAAAGAAAAGGTTACCTCACCAGAAACCATTATGCTATTTCTATTTGGTGGCCTTCTGCTGTTTGCTGATAATCTACATATTTGTACGTATGAAATTAAACTCTTCCTAACACAGCATGACTAGTAACCTCTACCAAAACAGCAATCCACAGTACCACTACAAAATAAATATATAAATGAGGTTCTATTACTTAGGAGCCACTGACAGAAAGCAGTAAAATTAAGAGTCTATATCTCTGGATAGTTTTATTTCCAAAATCAAAGCCTCTTCTAACTAGATAAACTTCACAGTGATTTCACAAACTACTAAGAGTTGCATTTACAGCACAGCGTGTTGTGAATTAGACATGCAATTCCTTTTACTGTGTTTTTGCTAATTGGTGTTGCGTGCCTAATTTGCCATGCACCATGCCTACTTTTAAAGTTTCTCTCTCTTTGTGGCTTTTGTGCTTCGGTAAGCAAGAAAGAAATTGTGCAGTAATGGGAGATTTCTGAAAGTCAACAAAATTATCTTAACCTAGCAAACACAAGTGTGGAGTAAGGAAAATCCCTGTATCAGTGAAAAAATCTTTTCATTTGTGAGGTGTAGAACATCCAGAACTAGAATTAGAAAATAAATACAACAGTGTTAGATATTTTTTCCATAGTTTTGCTTCCTAAGTTTCTTGTGCATCATTTTTGTTATTTCAAAGTCCCCAAATGCAGCATTCTGGGATAAAATATTACCAGGTTATACAGTAAGATAATTTTCAGATGATACATTTAACTCATGGCAAAGACCGTGTCTAGCATTGGCCCCGTGGGACACTGCAAACTCATATTCTTGGCTACCATCACCAACAGACAGCCAAGGCAGATATATAAATCTATTGGCTAAAGGCAGGGGACTAGTAGCAGACTGTTTTTCACAATGCAGCCACATTTCTGCCCAGAGGCACCTAAAAGCTGGTGCCTGCATATGAGGCCACCAAAAGCTTGTGGCTGTACCTTACACAAGGGCTGGACAATGTTGGGTTTTCAACATCATGGTGTATCGCCAGCCAAACATTGTGGTTTGACGATATACAGCGATGTTGAAAAAAGCTGCATTGGCCCCAGATGGCAAGATACTGGGTGAAACTCCTGCAGCTCTCATCATGGGAGCTCAGGTGCTTTCACCCCAGCGCCTCACGGGCTGTGGCCAATACAGCTGGCTCAAGCCTGCTGCTCAGCTGTGGGGCGGAAAGGCTCCTGCACCCAGCTAAGCAAGCCCCAAGATCCCTTGGCCAGGCTCCGCTGGCGGCGGGAGAGCTCCTGCTCCCAGCGGAGCCAGCCCCAAGTCCCCTGCCGCTCACACTGGAGCAGCAAGGACCTTTTGGCTCCTTGGCCAAGCTCCCTATGACTTCGCTGGCACGGGGGGGGGGGCAGCTACCTTGCCAGCTTGCCCCCCACTCCCCGAAGTCAGACCAAGCGGCATTAGCCAAGCACACGGAACCTGTCAGGCTCCAAGTGTTTGACTGCTTTTACCTGTGCGGGTGCGCTGTCTCTCTCCTCTGGTGCGGGGACATTCACCCCAGGAGGAATGATGCAGCCCACACTCCAGGGCGAAGTCTGCAAGGCACGGGGTGCAAAGCTACTGTATCCATGCCTTGTGGGGAAGGGCTGCTGGAAGCTGCTGGTGAGCGCTGGGCCCGCCAGCAGCATCCAAGAGCCCCTACACTGCCTGGTCTGCCTTCCATCTTTCTGGGAGGAAAGGTGCAACACATCCTCCCAGAGAAGGCAGCCAAGCACGGTTGGGGCTCTCTCAGTTGGGAAGGGCGGGCTACAGGCTTCTCAGCTGAGCAGCCCCAATCCCACTCCTACTCGGGTGCAAACAGTAGCAGTCGGGGATGTCTCAGCTGGGAAGAAGAGGCTTTGGGCTTCCCAGCTGAGCAGCCCCGCTCCCACTCCTACTCATGTGCAAGCAGTTGGGGTGGGGCTCTTTCAGCTGGGGAGGGGGAGCACTTTAACGGAGCTCCCATCCCGCTGGTGGTGGGTCAGGGGTTCCTTGAGGCGAGGACAGCAGCTCACTCCTCAGCCAAGCAGTTTAAAGAAGCGGAGGAAGGAACGAGCAGTATCAGCTCCTTGCCGATTCAGCTTGATTCTCCCTCTGGCGGGGCAGAGTGCGATGGCGGTTTCACCAGCGGTTGAAAACAGCGACATCAAAGTCTGGGCCAGGCCTTTAATTAGACTTACAGCTCCCATGGTAGGCCCTGGGCTGCAGCACAGCCAGATGGTGGGTGAGCCAGACTACAATCCAGCTGCTGCCAATGCTTTGCTCTCCTTCTGCCTTCCCAGGCAGCAGGCACAACTGGGACTTCAGCGTGGACAGGGACCCACTGATTTGCTGCTTTAATTCCAGTACACACTACAACATAACAGCACAGCCTAAGTGTTCTTTCAAAAAGATAGTGGGGAAAGCCTTGAATGTAGATTCACACTTTCTGAGATGTATTTGAAGTGGTAAGAGTCCAACATACAATATTTAAGAGATCAAAAGAGCACAGGCTTGGGATTTTAGAGTGTGTGCAAAAAATATGAACTGGGCTTCTCAGCTCTTAAAATGTTTCTCTATCAAAAGGAAACAAAATGAAATATGCAGAAATTAATCCTTTCTGCTTCCCTGCTTCACCTGTGCCTGCTTATGCCTTCTAAAAATTTATGGAAACTAGTTTTTATCTCCTGACACACTTGACATTAGATCACTTAGGGAAAGAGTACTACCTATGCACTCATATAAGGAAGTATGTTTGCTTCTTAACGCTTTGATTCTGAAAGGTATTTGTAGTAAAAATAGAAAAGTACCTTCTCACCAGACCTTTTCGTAAATCAGACCTGTATTTAGCCGAATAGCCATAGATGACCTTGAAGGTCAGTGAACTGGCAGAGAATGGACAAGTATTTCCGTCCCTCTTCCGCCTGCCCATTCAGTTTGCAGGCTAGCTGTGGAAGAAGGGAAACTCATCCCTCAGCTCTGTCCCTCCTGTGCCAGCCTATTTGGTAGGGCAGTTTTTACCAGCCTACTAACAAACTGCATTTCCATGGCCACTAGCCTCCTAGTGGGCTAGTAAAGATAAAATAAAATGCATGGTAGTATTTAGAAGGGTAATCTAAAGGGAAGTGCAAACATTTTGAGAGTTCAACTTACTTTGACTGCATGAAAACCAGCTTAATAAAAGAAGAAAAGATTTGTAGCTAATTAAATATCTGATAAAACTGTAATAACTTTCTTTAAAAATTAAACTTCAAGTCTAAATATTGTTTATTACTGCATCTTATCTCTTACCAAGAAACACAACATTTATCTTCCTTGTTTTAAATGTAACTGGCTACTATAATTAAGAAATCCGATTTGTCAAAATATAGGGCTATCACATCTTCAGTGACAGCACACTCCAAGACACTGGAGGGAAAAAAATAATCTAACACTTTCATATTTTCTTCAAATACCCATTCACACAGTACTGGAGAATGTAAGAAAAGCCACCCAGCCATCCCTATATTTCAATGAGCTAAATGAAACTTCAAAGAAGAATAAGCAGGGGAATATCAAGTAGAAAATTACGACATCATGCTTAGGAGAAGGAACTGAGCAGAACCTTTTCATAATACTTCCCAGTGGAAAAGATGTCAGATGCTAAGAAAGAGATTTGTCACAACTTCCAAAACAGAAAAGTAACCAAAAAAAGTTGCACAGAGAAGGACTGAACACTGACAATAAGAGGTATTTGTAGAGTAACACGACTGAAAGATGAGCATGGCATATGTATGCACAGATCCAATATGTTGTGGCAGTGGCTTAGCAGTGGTCTAGCAGAAAGCCTATAGATTAAACAGTTTATTGGACTGCTTCTCTCCATATGAACCTACCCAGACCCTGAGATCATCCTCTGACGCTCTTCTTTGTGTCACCTCCATGGCAGGCCTGGAGGGTGGCAACACGAGAATGGGCCTTTTCTGCAGTGGCTCCCCATTTGCGAAATGCTCTCCCCAGGGAGGTTCAGCTGGCACTTTCATTATGCCCCTTTAAGGCACCAGATGAAAACATTCCCCTTTAACCAGAACATCTGATGCCCTTTTAAAATATGATGGGGGGTGTTATTGGCTTGTTTTGCTTTTATTATGTATTTTCTGTCACATCACGTGAGTGACAAAATATAACTCAACTCTTTCTGAATCAAGTGACTATGCAGGAATTGGGTAAGTGCTTAGGTACCATGATGGGCTGGATGAGGGTCAATAAACTGACCTTGAATTCTGGTTAGGATTAAGGTTCTGTTTAGGAGCACTTCCCAGGCCTAGGAACAGATCAACTGACTGTTCTAAATAGGGTTTCACTTCTGAAGGAGCAAGTAAGTAGTTCGGTGGTGCTCCTGAATCCATCTTTGTCACTGGAGAACCAGTGGATAAGGAGCACCTTCTGCTAGTTTGGCTGCTGCAACAGATATGACCATCCCTTTATTGGAATAGCCTAGGTAAAGTGGTCAAAGCCCGGAAAGTCTCCAGATTAGATTACTGCAATGAACTCTTTGTGGAGCTTCCCTTAAGGTTGAACTGGCAGCTGTTGCTAGTGCATAATGCCACAGCAAGACTGTGGAAAAGGGCACCTATCAACTGTGCATAACACCTGGGCTGAAAGAGTTTCACTGGCTGCCATTTTGCTATTGAGCCAGGTTTTAGGTCTTGCTATTGGCATATAAAGCCCTGGACACATTGAGATGAGGTTACCTAAAGGAGACCTTTCCTTATACAGTCGAACCTTGGTTCTCAAACGCCTTGGCACTCATCCATTTTGGCTGCAAACCCGGAAGTGCGTGTTCCAGTTTGCAAACAGCCGAACATCCGACGCAGCTTCCGACTGAGTGCGGGAAGCTCCTGCAGCCAATTGGAAGCCACGCCTTGGTTTTCAAAGGTTTTCAGAAGTCAAACGGACTTCAGGAATGGATTACGTTCGAGAAACAAGGTATGACTGTACCCCTATCTGGAGACTTTGAAACATTGGAAACACACTCATAATAGTGCCACAAGCCTTGTTTGTCAAGCCAGTACCTGATTGTCCCAATGTGGCAAAAGTGTCTTTGGTTTTGTATAAACCAAACAAAGTTTTAGATAGTATACATTTTGAGAAAATCTAAATTGAATTTTAAAAATCAATGGAATTTACAGACATGGAACTGAAAAATAAATTGGAGCAAATGTTGTTTGCTCAAGGAGAGCACTTTGAAAGTTTGGCTTATGGTTCTCCAATCCTATGAACACTTATCTGAAAGCAAGTCCTGCTAAATAGTGAGATTCCAAGTACAGTACACATGCAAAGGATCATGCTGTAAGATGGAACTCTCATATTTATTCAAGATATTTATTGGATTCCTTTTCTCATTCTACCAAGAGCTTTGGCAACAATACTTAAGCTGCAATAAATGATGTCGCAGACATAACAGGACCAGTGTGCTATGAAATATTCTTCTATTTCTGCATGCTTTTTTCTGGTTTGGGTGGGAAGAGATACCTAGATGTATTTATTTATTTCAAAACATTTATATACTGCCTGATTATAATAAAACCTCAAAGTGGTTTTCAAAAAGAGTATGTTTCCACAGCTGCAGCACAGCATGGCTGTGTGCAGCCCTGGAAAAGCATGCCAATATTACCAGGATGAAAATTTCTATTAATAAAAAGAATGAAAAAAGGAACATGAATACAGAATTTTCAATGTATGAAATGGAAGATTGGTATATGCAATGAAGCAGATTATATTGTGATTATTTCAGCCATTCTAATTTAAAATTAAATTATTTAAGAACTTGTCCCACATATATCCAAGTACTTACCACTGCCTAGTCTGAGAAGCAGTACATCCTGTAGCCGTCTGTTCAAGTCTCTGAGCTCCTTCATTTCTGACACTAATGTCCCATACTCCTTTAGCTTTTTTGCTTGCTGAACAAGCTGCCTTCTTGTTCGCTCAAGTTCTTGTTGAATGTGTCTCATTTCTTCCTGCTGCTGCTGATAGCTTCGCAGCAATTCTTCATAAAGAACTCGAGGAACTACAGCATCGTCCATATTGTTCATCCTTTCTGAAGTTTCCATAAATGTTGCTTCAGGACTGGAATTGCTACTGAGACTCATTCCATTTTGTTTTTCAAGGCGCGCAACAACTGCTTCAATGCTTTTGTGCGTACCTTCATTTTGTTTCCTTCCATCTTGTCTCTGTGTGTTACAACAAACATTGTGTTAACATATAATACGTAGCATGCTACAGAGATCTATAGTTAATTAAAACAGGAATTCACCAGAGTCCTCAAGTAAACGATGTGCTTATAATGAACTATACTAAATATGAAGTCATTCTTTTTTATTGAACCATAATAATAATAAATAATCACAATCTTTTCAAGTTAGCATTTGGAGAAAGCAGGGCTGATGGTAACCCCAATTTGGGCTGCCTACCAAAGCTAGTCAAAAGTTGCGGACAATTGGCAGTGGGAATTCTCCACAATGCACAGAGAGTCCTTAGTATGCTGAAGAGAATGGGACCACACTGGTTTACATGAACTCCTTTGCAGGTTTGCAATTGTACCTCTTGTATGAAATTTATTTTTTCAACACACAAACTAAGGAAGTTGTTAGCACCTAGATATTTTTCAACAACACTATTACCGTATTTTTTCGCTCCATAGGACGCACTTTTTCCCCTCCAAAAATGAAGGGGAAATGTGTGTGCGTCCTATGGAGCTGAATGTAGGCTGGCTGAAGCCTGAGAGCGAGAGGCATCGGTGCGCACCGACCCCTCTCGCCTCTCCAGGCTTCAGGAAGCCATCCGCAAGCCTTGCAAGCCCGGTGGGAGTTCCCGCGGGCTCACAAGGCTTGCAGGCAGCAGCCTGCAGCCCCGGCGAGTGTCCGCAGCCTTGCGCGCCCGGCAGGAGGTCCCGCCGAGCGCGCGAGGCTTGGGGCAGCAGCCTGTCGCCCGAAGCACGGGAGCCCTCCGGAGGGCTCCCGTGCTTCGGGCGAGTGTCTGCAAGCCTTGCGCGCCCGGCAGGAGGTCCCGCCGAGCGCGCAAGGCTTGGGGCGGCAGCCTGTCGCCCAAGCACGGGGAGTCCTCCGGAGGGCTCCCGTGCTTCGGGCGAGTGTCTGCAAGCCTTGCGCGCCCGGCAGGAGGTCCCGCTGAGCGCGCAAGGCTTGGGGCTGCAGCCAGTCGCCCAAGCACGGGAGCCCTCCGGAGGGCTCCCGTGCCTCGGGCGAGTGTCTGCAAGCCTTGCGCGCCCGGCAGGAGGTCCCGCCGAGCGCGCGAGGCCTGGGCGGCAGCCGTCGCCAAGCACGGGAGCCCTCCGGAGGGCTCCCGTGCTCGGGCGAGTGTCTGCAAGCCTTGCGCGCCCGGCAGGAGGTCCCGCCGAGCGCGCAAGGCTTGGGCGCGAAGCCTGCCGCCCGAAGCACGGGGAGCCCTCCGGAGGGCTCCCGTGCGCCGGGCGAGTGTCTGCAAGCCTTGCGCGCCCGGCAGGAGGTCCCGCCGAGCGCGCGAGGCTTCGGGCGGCAGCCTGTCGCCCGAGCACGGGGAGCCCTCCGGAGGGCTCCCGTGCTCGGGCGAGTGTCTGCAAGCCTTGCGCGCCCGGCAGGAGGTCCCGCCGAGCGCGCGAGGCTTGGGCGGCAGCCTGCCGCCCGAGCACGGGGAGCCCTCCGGAGGGCTCCCGTGCTTCGGGCGAGTGCCTGCAAGCCTTGCGCGCCCGGCAGGAGGTCCCGCCGAGCGCGCAAGGCTTGGGCGGCAGCCAGCCGCCGAAGCACGGGAGCCCTCCGGAGGGCTCCCGTGCTCGGGCGAGTAGTCTGCAGCCTTGCGCGCCCGGCAGGAGGTCCCGCCGAGCGCGCAAGGCTTGGGGCGGCAGTCTGTCGCCGAGCACGGGGAGCCCTCCGGAGGGCTCCCCGTGCTTCGGGCGAGTGTCTGCAAGCCTTGCGCGCCCGGCAGGAGGTCCCGCCGAGCGCGCGAGGCTTGGGCTGCGAGCCAGCCGCCAAGCACGGGGAGCCTCCGGAGGGCTCCCGTGCTTCGGGCGAGTGTCTGCAAGCCTTGCGCGCCCGGCAGGAGGTCCCGCCGAGCGCGCGAGGCTTGGGCGGTAGCCAGTCGCTCAAGCACGGGAGCCCTCCGGAGGGCTCCCGTGCTTCGGGCGAGTGTCTGCAAGCCTTGTGTGCCCGGCAGGAGGTCCCGCCGAGCGCGCGAGGCTTGGGCTGGGAGCCTGTCGCCGAGCACGGGAGCCCTCCGGAGGGCTCCCGTGCTTCGGGCGAGTGTCTGCAAGCCTTGCGCGCCTGGCAGGAGGTCCCGCCGAGCGCGCGAGGCTCGGGCTGCAGCCTGTCGCCGAAGCACGGGAGCCCTCCGGAGGGCTCCCGTGCTCGGGCGAGTGTCTGCAAGCCTCGCGCGCCCGGTGGGCGGTAGCCTGCAGCCCGAAGCACGCGAGGCTTGGGGCGGCAGCCGCGGGGGGGGAATAATTTTTTTTATTCATTTCCCCCCCCCAAAAAAACCGAGGTGCGTCCTATGGGCCGGTGCGTCCTATAGAACGAAAAATACGGTAAGTGTTGAATGCTCCCAGGGGAAAAAAACAGGCATAGATAATGTGTTCTTTCATTCCATCAGCTGAGAACTTTATTTTTCTCAGTGCACTGAGGTGACAAAACAGATTTGCTGAAGGCTAGCTAATAGTTCTCTGCAAAATTTCCTGGCATTTATGTAACGGTTAGTGTCAGTCTAGGACTTGGGAGAGCACAGTTCAAATCCTCACTCAACCATGAAGTTCACTGGGTGACCTTGGTCCAGTCACTGTTTCTCAACCCTACCTCACAGGGTTGTTGTGAGGGGAAAAATTGGGAGAAAGAAGCATGTACACCAGCTTGAGTTCCTTGGAGTAAAAGGTGGGAAATACATACATACATACACACTTAAAAGAAATTTTTGTACGCTACTGGTGTGGCCACAACTTTCACACCATTAACCTAATTGGGGGGCATCAAAGCTCAAACCAAGTGACTGAGTGGAATAATTCCACAATATAACAAAATTATTAATGAAATAATTTCATTCGGCATCAGGCAATCCAGTACTGTGCAATAATCAGCCATATCTCAACTGAGGTAATATCTCCAAGGCAAATTTATCTGCCCTTCCTTTGACTCTCAGTATTAGTACTTAAGCTTTCTTACAGCTATTTTGTGCCCCATTTTAGCATCAAGCAAAGCAGATGTGTAATTGAAAGAGTTTGCTTTAAAATAATAACTGTTTTCATGATAAAACTGGATTATTTTGGCTTAGGGCAACATTCTAGAGAAACACTACATATGTAGCTAGTAAATGCAAAAATATCAAACAGCCCGTGTTTTCATGTTGAATTAGAAGTTTATTTTAAATTCATAACAAAATGAGAATGTGGCAATAAATGCAGAATAAAAACAATGTCAATATACTGTCACAATAGCACTAAAGAGTTTATCAGTATCATAAAACATGGATGTATCAAATGTTAAATTTGTATTTGGATATAATATGTGCATGAACAATAAACTGCACATTTTTATACATGTTAACAGTAATGATCAGTGCACAGCTCTTGAGCGAGAAGAATGTCAGAGCTGCAATATTTACTTTTCCTTATTTTCTAGTCATCACCAACAGAGATCTAAAATTCTGAAAGAAAACATACAGAAGACCAGCCTGAACTTAAATGAGAACTACTCAAGTATGACAAAGTACACTCATACGTGGGGCTGCCCTACGTCTGGAATTTCCTGGACATATCCAGAACACCGCAGTCAGAATCCGCACGTAGGGCAACCCATACGATTGTCCTTTTAAAAATGCTCAAAAACTTCATTTTTGTGAATTTTTGGGGGGGAAGCTCAACAACTTTTATGTCCAGTTTTTCACTGCATGGGATCCCTGAGTATACTTGCAACATAAAAACAGCAAACCCGTTCAGAAGCTTTAGTGCTTTTTTTTTCTGAATGCCACACCTATTTCTAAAGAACATACAGCTCTGAACTTCAAATGTTTTCTGAAGACGTATCTTTTTACACAAGTGTATACCAAACAATAGTGTTTTGCCTATTGTTTTAGAATTTTGTAACTTCTCTTGCAAGTTTAAAATGGGGGGGGAGGGAGAGTTAGGGAGAGTGGAGGAGAGAGAGAGAGAGAGAGAGAGAGAGAGAGAGAGAAACTTGTCTTATTTCAAGTCTTGTAGTCCACTCTGGCAGTGCCTGAAGTAATGAAGAGTGGGTAACTATTTTTGTAAAATAGAAATAAGAATGTAATTGTGAAGTATAAAATCCAGGATTTAACAAGGAGATCAGTTTCTGAAAAGGGTAGAAATTCCAGGTCTGAATTCCAATTAGCTATAGAATTTGAAGAATCATGCAAAATTCAAAACTGAAACATGCATCGACTGGAATGATTCTTCTACTGTTCCACAGTTGATCTTGTCACAACAAGAGGAAACCATGATGATGAGTCTAAGAAAATAGCAGGTGTGACTCCAAGTGCATGCAAATAGAAAGATATTGACAGCATATTAATTCTGAAAGATGAAGAGCCATAATTAACATTTTTGCCGCTAGTGAAAGCATTATCAGTTCTTTCGGATGGTCCAGTGTATTTAAGTCCAGGTATTTGCTCAAGTGCATTTCCAAAATTATTAACTATCTGCTGAATAATAAGTGTGCTGAATGCTTAAAGGAGTCAATCCCTCTAATCAAAAAGCCCAAATGCCAGAACATCCACTGATCTAATCAAAAGAAAAACAGTATTTTCTGATAATACACTGTTCTTCACTGCATCCAGAAATTCTCTGCCAATACTTTTAATAGGCCACAGGGGGAGAATTATTTGAAGGCAATCTTATCCTGTTATTTGGGGGTTGTTTTGAATCCTCTTGATAGTGCTCTAAAGTTCTCTGGTGGATCACAACATCTCTTGACTTTCCTGAAATGTTGCCCGGTTGATAATTTTATAGGAAATGGTGCAACAATATTCAGTGGCACAGTTTATATCTAAGAACTATAGGATGTTCCTTTAATGGCTGTTGAGCTCATTGGCACAATTTAGTGACAAGGTCTCAACTTTCAGCAAAATATAACTATACCTATATGGATTGTGGGCACAGTACAGTATGTGAAATTGTGCCACTGAGCAGCCGGTCATTCTCATCTTATTAAAATATTTGGAATGGAGCACAAAACTACAATTCAGAGTAAAATGTTTCTCTTTTATGGCAAAAATAAAGAACCACTTTAGCAAACTTTATTGCGTGGAAGGATGAAAGTTTGCAAGTCTACCATATTGCTGCATCAGTTTTCACTGACAATCAGAACTAAGATGCAACCATGAAAAACGTGATATAAGGACAGTGCTTCATGGGCATCAAGCACCTCAAACTTTTAAGAATACTATTTATGCAGAAAAGGTCATCATTATACCTGTCACACCAAATGCAAGCTGCTTTTCTTAAACTTTTTATGTATAGGACCTTAATTTTTTTCACATCAAGATGTCCAAAATAAGAAATACAACAAATCCTACATACCTAAGCTGTTGACAAAACTAATTTACAACTTAATCATAAAATAAGCAACAAAAACAAGTGCTACAAGAAAGATGACAAAATAACTACCATAACTGTACATGAAACACATTATGGAGCAGTAATAAAATAATACAGCAGAATGCATAATACAGATTGAAAATAACCTTTTGACTTAAAAGACAAGCATATATTGGCCGGGTTCGAAAGTCACTCTAAATCAAGCAATATCTTACTGTGAACTTGCAGGCATTTGGACTCTGAGAGACAAGATTGCTGCAAGATCTTGACAAAACCGAGCCACTAAGCTATTTTCAAAACAGCTTGACAGTCTGGGTAACTGGGTGTGTTCCTCCCCATGTTGACTATAGCTAGCATTTATGAGAAAACATACCGTATTGGCCTGAATATAAGCCTCACTTTTTCCCCAAATTCCGACTGTGAAAAGTTAAAGTGTGGCTTATATTCGCGACCTTACGGTATGCAATGAGGAGTGTGGGGCAAACAGCAGCAGGAGCGCAGCAAAGCTGCGCCTGCCCCGTGTGTAGTCCCCCGTCCTCTTCCCCAAGGCCGGGAAGGGAGAAAGTGAGGAAGGGGAAAGGCCACTGGCAACGAAGTGGCTCCCCCCTCCCCCCAAGTATGCAGCCAGGAGCAGCAAGGAATGGAGTGGCTTATATTTGGTTATCCCCCCCCCCCATTTTAAAGGTGTGGCTTATATTCAGGTGCAGCTTATAGTCAGGCCAATACGGTACTTGCCATACCTGGAGGTATAGCATTTCATAGCACACTGAATACTGTGTACTACAGCAACAAGCAAATGAACTAACTAGCATGGAACTTTCCATGTATTGCTATTGGATTATCCTACATATAGATTTAAGAAATGTGTGTGAGAGAATGAATGAGGAGCAGCTGTTCCCATAATTCAGAAAAATACATATCTGGTGAGATTGCCTTTTGAGTTTGGTTGAAGGTAATCAAAATGTGCTTTCCTGGGCCCGGCATGTGGCAGTATTGGTGGCAATAAAGCTGGAGACCTGGTTACTCCATGAAGTCCAATGTAAAAGCAGAATGTAAATACAGGGAACTCGCAACTTGGGCACATTTAACTTGTGCACATTCAGCTTTATGTGCTTGGCAAATTTAAAAAATAAAAAGGATGAGGGACGGGGACAGGCATTGAGGAAAAAATACACTGGCAATCTCACACGGTTTTGCCTTAGCATGGGAATAGCATGAGCTATTCCCAGAACTTAACCCAGCAGTAAATTAATAGTTGCTTGCATGTGTACATCACATCATACTGATCTACAATTCTTATACATTGATCATATGGTGTGGTTATCATACTTCTACCATTTTTTCTTGTTAAACGAATAAAATAAACTTACACTGCAACATTAAAACACAAACAGTATGCCTGTGGCATACGTACGTAATAGCTTTTGTGTATGCTGTTTCTCTATAACGTTGTCACTAAGCCAAACACCTATTCCCTGACTCTAATGAAAACATTGGCAGTCATCATGAATCTAAAATAGTCAAAATGTGCATGCATATGCTCCCTATCTGATTTTCCTAGAATTAAAATGAAGTACACCTCCACAAGCAGTCTTGAGTACTGGTATGTATTTGCAAAGGAGAGCCAGGTAATGTTTTCTTCAGTATATAAAAGGCTGATTACTACACAGTACCTGGTAGCAGGCTAAAGAGGGAAAGCTTTGGCAAATAATATGACCCAGAACTATGTGTCCCACAAACCATTTTATCACATAAGCAAAACCTGGAATACAAACATATGTTAAAACATTTTTGCGTGTCTGTTGTGTACTTTTTGTATGATGCTTCTTCATTGCATCACAGATCTCTTTATTTTGAGCATTTATTCACTCCATTTACTATTAAACCAGATGAGTTCAAGAACTGTTTGTAGGGTACATGTCTTTAGATGCATCCTGAGAAAAATCAGGAAGGAATTTTCCTGAGAACTTTTAGCTCAAGGTCAGTGTATTTCGTTACCTAAATCCACTGAGGAAAAAATAGTTTCCAGATGGTGAGACTAAAATCACTGAGTACATTTTCCTGCTCAGCCAGTCACTTAAAAAGACAAGCGCACTGTGTATTGTTTTATGTTTCATACTGATATTTTTATGTGACACTTTCAGTTTACCATGTGCTTCTTGTGAAGTAGGCTACTATAATTTCCATCGAGTAATGGAAAACATAGGATGAAGCCCCAAAGCTGTCACGGTAACCTCATCGATCACACGAATTTGGGTATCAGCACTTTTATTATCAATTCCTTCCCTAATGATCCCCAGCATGGAATTTGCCTTTTTCACAGCTGTTGCACACTGGGTTAGCATCTTCACTTAGCTAGCTACAACTCCAAGGTTTCTCGCTCCTGGTCATTCACCTCCAGTTCAGAGTATATATGCGGAATTACGCTTTTTTTTTGTCCCTACATGCATCACCTTACACTAATTTGCACTTAAATGCATTTGCCATTTTGCCACACTGGGTGAATACCCAGTCTGGAGAAGTCCTTTTGTAGCTCTTTGATGCTCCTTTAACAACCCTGAGTGGTTTAATATTTCCCACCCTCATGCACACTCTAAATCTGTTCTGGGGGATTCCCCCAACTCTCTAGAGCAGATTTGGCCACAGCATATTGAGGGAAGGGAGAGGGGAGAGGCCCGTTGCATGAGCAGAAATCCTTTTCTGATAGGATGAGGGAGTTGGATGTTCCCCTTCAACAGCAGAATGAATTATGTTGTATATATTTCATTGTGGGGTGTTTTTTGTGTGTTAAGATTAGACCTTTTAAATATCTAGAAAAGGCAGGTGCTGATACTCTCAAACCCATAAACACATGGATTATACACTTTAGAGAATGCCAGTCCACTATGAAGTTATTTACTGGTGTTAACCAGTTAACACCAGTAACCGAAGGGAAGAAAAGGCAACCAATGAAGGAGTTCTGCCACAGACATGAATGTGAAAGAGAAGTTTCTTTCATGAAGTGTCGTAAAACTTTCTTTTAAATTTACAACACAAAATGAGTAACAACGCTGAAAACTCATATTCACAAAACCCTGTAGCTGACCTTCAATTAAAAAACTAGCAAAACAACTCTTTGGGCCAAAGTGAAACAGTGTCCAACAATGACTAAAGAAAGGAACTTGAGCAAATAGAATGAAAAAGCCCCATGCATTTACAAAGAGACATTTAAAGCAATTCAGGAGTCTTGATCACATTCACACTCCCATCAGTCATAGCCAGTAATACAATGCTTTGTATGCTTTCCTTTAAGGTCTGAAGCCACAAAGTTTAAAAAAGAGCAACAAAAAAACTTCCAATACCTTACAGTGTCTAAGTTCCATATCTTCATCCCCATAATCTGTAATTTCTCCTATTTCTTCTAGGTGATTGAGAGAAAGCTTGGGGATTTTAATTTTCTTCTGCATCACACTGTTTTCAAGATCAGTTTTATCTTCTGTAAAATTTACATAAAAATAAAAATGGTCAAATTCATCAAACTTTTCATCAAACTTATCATTCAAATGCTGTATCACTGAGGCCAGACCACTTAAAGTTTCCCATGCTCAACTGTCTTCAGTGTGCAGTGGAATTCAATTGCTCCACAGACTCTAAACATTAACACCAAAATGAAGAGTGCCACATGCAATTCTACGTTTTTTTAAATTCTGTATTTTTCAAGACAGAAAAATACAATCACCACATTTGTATTTGTGTTATTTCATTTAAATGTATGAAAATTTTAAACTTCCCATTACAAAAGGACAAATCTTTTACCAAAAAAAAAAGGAAGAGGCAATGTTTAAAGAAGATATGCTGGTGTTCCTCCAGCATATATGCATTAAGAATACCTCTCCCCCATCTCTCAGAACAGTTATAGCAAATTCCCAAGCAGCTGGCATACTGAGAAATGAAGTTCTTTCAGCACTGTTGACACCTGCAGCAGGTAGCAGCTCAACTTACAAGAGTCAGGTGGAAAAAAACAGAGACCACTCTCCCAACATTACCACTATGGCATTGCTAAAAAAAAGAAAGAAAGAAAAAGCTGTCACTGCCACTGTCATTTGCCCAGTTTGCTCTCTACATTAATGTACTAGTGCATAGTGCTCAAAAGCTCCCACAGCACTCTTCCTCTCCCCCGCTGCACTGTGGACAAAGCAAGCCAGAATCTGGATTGTGATGTGTTTCCTCCAAACAAACCATGAACAGCAACCAAGGTTTGTAATTGGCTTACAGCTCATGGTTTGTTTGAAGGAAAAACCATGAGCCTAGGTTCAGATGACATGACAACACAGACTCTGGGTTGTTTCATCTGCCGTGTGGCAGCAGGAAGTGCAAGGGAAAGGTGCTGTGGGAATGTCTGCGCAGTGTGTATTACACACTATGGTTTAATGTGACATACAAACTGAACCAATGTCACCACTGGTTAATATCCAGGCAAGTGGGCTTACTGTGGAAAGGAGTTAGACCTTGTTTTACTGAGCCCAATTCAAAATAAAACTGTCAATATTTTCATTATATATAAATATGCCATTTCCTTTGCTCTGGCAAGATTAAGGAAAAGATTAAGTGGCAACAACAAGCAGCACTGTCCTTTCTGGATCACAGGGACAGGCAGAGGCCTGAATGGGACCTTCCAATCCTAACTATGTTTACTGCTTTTTGAAGCAGAGGCCACCACTGGAGTCCAGTGACTTGAGAACCAAGACTTGAGAACCAAGACATGTTTATTTGCAGAACTCTGGAGCCTTCAGGTGCAATTTCCAGGCAGGCTGTTCAGAACCCATATCACCCCTGATAGTTTCCTTCCTATACTTTTCATTTGTCACTCAGCTCCTGGCAAGCAACACATAATTTGGGTCCAAGGCAGATATTATCAAGACATCCAAGAAATCAAACAGGGTTGATGTTTCTGCTTACTGAGATGCATAATCTCCCTCTGCATTCTGCTAGATGGTTAATATATTTTCATTTGTTAATGCTTTTTTGTTCTCATGCTCTTTCAGCTTTTATCAAGGGATTATATTATCTATTGCTCTGCTGCTCTTGATTTTTGGATCAATTCTAATTATTATTTTTTTAATGGGCTGACTTTACTTGACAAAGTTTTTATTGTATGCATCTTTGATCTTTTGAAAGGTGTCTAATAAATCTTGTAAAGAAAGGAAGTTTGCTTTGGTGTACCCCTGCAAATTTTAATATATTTACCTATGATTATGTTGTAATATATGAGTGAGACAATCTTAAAATTCTGATCAATATTTATCTGTAATTTCCTTTCTTCTATGTAAACCTAACTTTCCCACCCCCACTCTCTCATTTTTAATCTCCTGCTCCTTATGACAACATCAATCTGATGACTCCTTTACATTTTTTCTCTGTGGAAATGAAAATGCGATTATCCAGACCTAGCAGTCAGACTGATGTGTTGTTAAAAATGGCAGACTTATAAAATGCACTGAGAAGAGGACTCTGAGGATTGCTCTTTAGAATTTTATTTCATCACCACTTCTTGCATCTGGCTTGGTATTTCTTATGACTATCTGCAGTTCATTTTAGCTTGTCTCAGTTCCCTTTTTTTGCATCTTTTGTATGTATTTTCTTTACTCTGCCTCAGGATACAATTTCACTAGTTGAGAGATCCATTTCTGTCTTTGACAAAAAGGAATTGCATTCATCTGTGTAACTCATCCCTAATGAATGCTGTGCTCCTCATTAAACCCTGATTTACCTTTGTTTTCCTTTTCTGCACTGTCAACACTAACCATTTGTGAGCCCACTGAAAGCTGCTGCTTCAGGAAAATGAAACTAAGTACATACGGTACTAGCAGCATCCACATGGAAGTGTTTCAGAGAGCTTCATGGAATTTTTTCTTAGAACACAGTGTGTCCGTGCATGTTCTTTTCCTAATCAGCAACTCCTAAAGATATATTAAATCATGTGTTTACAGTATGTTGTGGAAAAACCAGTATCTCTTACAGCATAAACATTCTAACCTCACTTTATCAGTAATATAGCATCTTTTATGCTTTGAAATTTGATGTTCACTAAACCAGTCTTCCCCAACTGGTGTCCTTCAGATGTTTTGAACTACAACTCCCATCACGCCTGATTAGTTGCAGCTGAGAGGGGGGCTGTAAACCAAAACATCTGGAGGGCACCAGGTTGGGGGAAGGCTGCATTAGACTATATTAGGCATGGCATGTCTTGTAAAAATACTGCTTAACTGGCAAAAAACTGGACAACCTTTCAGCTTCTGAATTTTAAAGAGAGTGTTGGAAGCTAATGCCCAATCTCCAGTCTTTGTTGTATCAACAAATACATTCTTGCAACACAGCATAGCTACATTCTATGACACAAAATAGGTTAGGTTTGAAATAAGTGTGTGACTACTTCTGCAAACCCACATAAGCCTTGGATGTGTTTCTCAAACACCAGGTAACCCCGGGTTTTGCAAGGAAAACTGCTTTTAAAAGAAAGAAAAATCAAGAGCAGTTTGTGATGAGGGAAGAGGAATATCTGTGGTTTAACAGTGGGGAGGTGGAGATAATCCCTGTTGACATGTCCAGTCCTGGCTTACAGATGTAAGGGAAAAAAGGGTAATTCAAAATAGATTTATAAAAAAGACTTTAAATAAATATTAATAACATAATTCTCATTGATTTTCTATTGATCCTGAAAGCAAATAGTGATGAAGCAGAAGTGCAAGTCAGCTTTTTTACGCCTTGGATTGGTGTAAAAAGAGTTACTGGCTCACAAAATTTTCACAAACCTGTCTATCTATATGTAAAAGTGTCAGTCATGTTTTCAACAGCCAGAAAGGAAGGTAAAGAAATCCCCCAAATTTAAAGATTTCTTTGTCTGGGCACCTGGAAGCAGTTCTGACAGGCAAGCAACTATTGGGAGATTTTTGCAACATGGAGCACAAACCAAGGAAGTACAAGTATTCTGGGGCCATATAAAGATCCTGCCAGTGTTAAAACTGATTTGTTTTATTTATTTTGGTTGCTTTGGATAATGGTGAAAGCAAAATGTTGTCAAGTAACATCAGAAGAAAGCAATGGCTCAATCTATATTATCGTTAACCAACCCATTCCCGTCAACACCTACTAAGCCTTACAAACAAACTAATTATGAGAACCTGATATTAGAGAAAATGAAGCTGCAGAACATCATGGTCTACTGAACTTTAGAGAATTTTTAAGCTGGCTGTTACTATAACTGCTCAACAACGCCCTATTTTTCTTTGTCAGCTTCCCATGAACACTCCACACAGGGATGTTTCAAGAATCTGTTAGTGCTTGTAGCCTTCTTTGGTATCTGATAGCTCCTGAAATCCTTCTGAAACCCAAAGAAAGTATTACTAATACTAAAAGAAGAAAACAGAAGGAAGCAGGTTCTCCATGTTCAATTAGATACGTGTGGATTCATGCACAGCCCAATACATGGCAAAGCAAAATAGACAGCTGATAATCAAGCTAGCATATTATCATAAAGCTGTCAAAAGCAGATAGGGCAATAGAATGACAAGCATGAAGTGCATTGTAACAGATAGATGATGAAGCAATCTCAAGACTTTACTGTATGCCAATTTTTACACAGGACAACTTCAACATATCAGCTGGATCACATCAGCGAATCCAAACCTTGTAGGCTAGGAACTAGGGTTGGCAAACTGTGGTCCTCCAGATGTTGTTGGACTACAACTCCAATTATAATAATGCAAGACCTGGCCTGCTGGATCATTCCAAAGACCCATCAAGTCAGCATTTTGTTCCCAGGTGCCTATGAAAGTCCACAAGCAGGACATTAGCACAAAATTACTCTCCCGCTCATGTTACCCAGCAAGTTGTATTTAGAGGCATCCTGTTTCTGATTTGAAAGAGTAATAACAGCTGTGGTGTCTAGTAGCCAATGATAGTCTTATCCTGAACGAATATGTCTAAATCCAACCAAGTTGGTCATCAGTACATCTTGTAGTAGCAACTTCCATAGTTTAACTCTGTGCTATACTTCCTCTTGCCTGTCCTGAATCTCGCACCATTCAGCTTCACTGAGTGACAACAATTCTAATATATATAATTTTTTTTGGGGGGGGGAGCTCCATATTCACTTTCTTCACGCCATGCATGGTTTTTTTTACTATCATGTCCCCCTTTATTCATCAAAACATTCCAATATTTCCCCTCAATAATTTTAGCTGTGGTTTTCTGGCTCTACATTTTTGAATGTGACAACCAGAACTAGATAAAGTATTCCAAGCACAGTTTTTACTATATATATGTATCAAGGCATATTTCACTCCTAATGATCCATCACATGAAATTCATCCTTTTCATAGAGCTGCCCCACCTCTCTTTCTTTGTCAGCCATTCTAAGTTCAAACCCCATCAGTGTATCATTTCTGATCACTGACCAATGTGACTGGGGTTGGGAGTCCAACAACATCTAAGAGCCACAGATTACCCACCTCAGGCACAGGCAGAATACCTATCAAGAAATTCAAATACACACTGCAATATGTAACTTCCTAGCTCACAAAACTCAGCCAGAATGGACCACACCTTGTACAAGTTCAATATTTACAATCATGAAATAAATGAATGAAGAGCAAGATTATGAGCAAGTGGTAGACAGCTAACTCAGACTACTCCAAGAACCTTCACTTCACTAGTCCAAACTGCAGTCATCCTTGTCATTCCTGTATTGCAGGGAATTGGATGAGATGAACCCTCAGGGTCCCTTCCAACTCTACACTTCTATGAGTCTAATGAATGTTGGAAATTCTGTATTACTGCTTTTGAGGTGGGGAACCCTTCAGAAGAGAAGGGTCTTCCCCAAATCAGGCATTCTCAATCGAGAGTCATCATTCTCCATACTGAGGATTCTTATTTTCCTACATCACGTTTGTAACCAGGCATGCAGCAGGTAAAAATCACCTCCAGCCAACCAGGAAGGGAAGAGTTTTTAAAAGACTGTATGAAGCACTTGCTTGAAGTTTCTGACAATAAAAAAACCTAATTTTTGCATCAATATCACCACTGAATTACCTATATTTTGGATACGAATAATTAATTGTTATGCTGTAGTCATAGAAGGGTGTTGTTCTTTCAGTAAAATATACATGATGAAATCAAACTCACAACCCTGGGGGAAATTACAGCAAATGTTTGAACTACAGTCTAGCAGTGAAAACTTTGCAGTGGGCCACCCTGATTAAATAATTGATACTAATCAGGAATTGTCACTGTTGTTAACTACCATTTGTTCTGCACTGATTGAACTTAGCATCTAGGTATGTTGTACTCAGCATATATAATGATTTATAGAACAACAGGTACCTTTTACAAGCTACAGCTTCACTTCCTGTCTTGCAACAGATATGATATTCACCTCATATTTTAACACAGATATGGGGATTTTTAATGTTACTGATTGCATAAATAATCCTGTGACCTGAAATGCTTTCTTGCCCCCTAAGTGTGTTTAGCACAAATCCTGCTGTTTGGCATTTTGAATACAGAGCGTTATTCTAGATTATATAAGGTTTTCCTCTTGCAGCACAGAGGATTGTTAATTCTCAGTCCTGCCAACAGGGTCACCACACCCCCAACTTTTCAGCATGTCTTTGGGATCAAACAATCCTAAAAGGGTAAAGAACATTTTGGTTTTCAACTCGGTAAAACAGAGGTGTTTGGGGTTTGTTTGTTTGTTTTTTAAAAAAGGCACCTCAACTGCCAGCTCATAATGCCCAAACTTGAGAATGGATACTTAGAAAGAAGAGTCTCTTCTCTATGCATGCCCCCAGAATGTTCTGCTCAATGTGTACCTTTCTCAGATAACAATGCCCTTGGGATTCTTGTGTGCTGCAAGTAGTTTTCTCACTCTGGAGATATACTAAAAAATAATATTTTAAAGCTACAAACTAACTTGCATTTGCGGGGGGCAAACAACTAACTAAGGAGCAGTGATGACATAAATTTACTCTTTCCAGTCTTTGAATCATAGTTCAGTAGCTCAGGCCTTTTAAAGGCTAGCTTTTTGTTCCCCTCCGCCTTTTGCCTTCCTTCTTATCCTTGATGTAAGCACTTTTCTATAATTCTGCAAGACCTGTATGGCAGTGGGCGGGGGGTGCTGTTTCGCAGATAGAAGATTGTGATTTTACACATCACATATAGAAAGGATTTGTTTATTTATCTGATAGACTTGTATTATCCCACTTCAGAAAGGTATTTTCTAGCAACATGTAGCTTAACAATAAAAACAAAACAAACTAATATGAATAAGCAAGTTCAAAATAACATGTGGCAGCACAGAAAGCAATCAAGTTGAAATTTCAGGTATAAAAGCAGCAGAACTGAAAAAGCAACAATAAACTAAAGCCATTTTTACATGGCATAGAAGAAATTAGTAAAAAAATAAAATAAAATAATCATCCAGCATGTGCCTAGTGGAAATCATTCCACAGGCTAGAAACTACTACAGAGAAGGCACATCACCTAACCTCAACAAGCAAAAGACTGGAAAAAATCTCTTAACAGATAATCAGAACCGGTGATCTTTGGCATACCTATAAATCCTGGGATCAAGGCAACACCACCACCTGGAAACATACAGGAAGTCAATTAAGATGGCAAGATAACGCCTGCCCATCACCATCATGGTAGATATGTTCTCAATATGAGACACTTCTGAAAAAGAACTGTAGCTCAGTAGTTGAGCACCTGCCTTGAATGCAGGTTCAATCCCTGGAATCTTCAGGTAGGGATGCAAGGTTCCCTACCTGAAATGATGGTGAGCATCTGCCAGTCAATACAGACAGTACTAAGCAAGATGGACCAATAACATGACTTGGTATAAGGCAGTTTCCTATGTTCCTAGTGTATTTTTCCTAATGTATTGTAGTTGTCAAGCCTGAATGGTACAAGGATAAACATGGCCACGCTACGTCTGCTCAGAAGGAGTAGCAACTGGCACTCTAGTCTGAAGCACTTTGTGAAGAAGAAGAAGAAGAAGAGTTTGGATTTGATGTCCCGCCTTTCACTCCCCTTCAGGAGTCTCAAAGCGGCTAACATTCTCCTTTCCCTTCCTCCCCCACAACAAACACTCTGTGAGGTGAGTGGGGCTGAGAGACTTCAAAGAAGTGTGACTGGCCCAAGGTCACCCAGCAGCTGCATGTGGAGGAGCGGAGACGCGAACCCAGTTCCCCAGATTACGAGACTACCGCTCTTAACCACTACACCACACTGGCTCTCGTGCTGCATGCCACCAACACGACTTGGGTGTTCATAGCAAAGGATGGGTCTAACAGTACTGCAGACTTAAGAGGGCATGCAACCCTAAGCAGAACAGATCCTCAGTCAGGCAGACTACTTACCTACAGAACCTGCTTTAAGTTGCATCCCACCTTGAAGTGTAACTTTAAAATATTTAAATGAATAAAAATCCCATCTTGTTTGGACTGAGCTCCATTTTACAGCTGGACCTTTGTCCTTAACCACAGCTAAAGGACCCCAGGACAACCTTCTGGAATCCACCAAGTGCTTACATTCCAATAACCTGGTCCAGGATGGTGTGGCTGATAGTATCAAATGCCACTGAGGTATCGAGAAAATTATCAGTATCACACTTCTTCTGTCCTTCCACAGCAGGTCATCAGAACCAACAAATCAGTTTCTGTGACAAACCTAAGAATAAACCCTGATCTAAATAATCAACATTATTTAGGAATGTGTAATTGTCCAGCTACCATCTGACTGATATCTGGTACTGGAAGTAATATTAGTGACCAGCCAGTAAGGTAAAGGGACCCCTGACCATTAGGTCCAGTCGTGACCAACTCTGGGGTTGCAGCACTCATCTTGCTTCATTGGCCGAGGGAGTCGGCATACAGCTTCCAGGTCATGTGGCTAACATGACAAAGCCGCTTCTGGCGAACCAGAGCAGCGAACGGAAACGCCGTTTACCTTCCCGCCGGAGTGGTACCTATTTATCTACTTGCACTTTGACGTGCTTTCGAACTGCTAGGTTGGCAGGAGCAGGGACCGAGGAATGGGAGGTCACCCCGTCACGGGGATTTGAACTGCCGACCTTCTGATCGGCAAGTCCTAGGCTCTGTGGTTTAACCCACAGCGCCACCCGCGTCCCATCACCAGCCAGTAGTTGACACTAATAACCACTTCCTGAGCATGTACTATGAAAATAATTAGGCAACACCCTAAATCTGTGACTAATTGTTTTAATTGTGCTGTTCAGGCTGTGATGAATGTCAGCAATTTTATCCCCAAGTAAGTCACAATTGGCCTTCAAGGTTTCCTTAAGATCTTTCTGTGGACTCATTTGGGGACATCTCATTATTCAAAGACACATCAGTATATGGCACTGAGATGATACAATAGTGGTAGAACAGTATACTCGTTGGGCAGTATCGCTGCCAGAGAGTGGTCTCAAATATGAGCTCTCACTTTTGTCCAGTCATATTTGTATTCTAGACATTGCCCCCACCTGCTTCATCAGCTATTGGATAAGCTAAGGCACTGTACAGCCTCAGCTCAATAATAAGGGGAGTGAATTTACAGTCCACATCATTTCAGAACTCCATAATGTGATCAGGGCTTCAACAGGACCAGCAGCTACAACAACAAAATCTCAAAGACTCTCAGGAATTATTCAGAATCCATCAGCCTCTGCGGCCATCTTAACAGGTCTGCAATGTGACATGTGAAATATCACTGTGATCCAACTCTCTGAACTGCCAGGATATGTGTGTGTGTGTGTGTGTGTGTGTGTGGATGCAGCAGAGGTGTACCTCTGCCCAGCCTTGTGTGGCTCCACTGGCACAGAACACTTTAAGCCACAGAACACTTTGAGCCATCACCAGCAGTTACCCCACTCACCGGTAGTAAGCATAAACCTACAAAATGGGACATTCTGGAGGGTGGAGAGGGAGCAAGTAAATGAATCACTGGCTCATCAGCAGGCCCTGCTTCTGTCACATGACAGCAATGGACACGATCTGGGCCTCTTCGGTGCACCAGCTTAGGTGTTGGCTAACAAAATGAATCAGGCTGGTACAAGAGGTGTGGATGTGTGAAACTTGTTGCTCTGCTCTTTTAAGCCATGTTGCTACAGACCAGAGGTCTGAATTGCTCTCCACACCTCAGTAGGAAAGGAGAGAGGTATATGCCTAGGGGCCTACTTCTCCTTGTGAACTGTTGAAACTATCTATGGCGGTATTAGCCAGAATTTAGGTTCAAATAGTGAAGCTGTAGCTATATGCTGGGGCTAGAAGGGGATAAGATTACCTGGGATAAAGTCCACCTATCTCCAGCATGGCTCCCTTAATTCATGTGGATGGGGGGGGGGGAGAGAGGGACTCTGTGAATAAAAGAAGGTGCCCATTATGTGCAGTGAGGCATACTTCCTGTGTGTACTTCTGTGGACTTAAGAGTGCAATCCTATACATACTCACCTAGCAGTAAACGTTTATAGGACTACACTGCTAATTTGTAAAAATACCAGCCATATGAAAAACCTTGTTGCACGGCATCTGGCAGTTCATGAGCAGAAAGGACAGAAAACTATGGTTAGGCATAGTTATTGTCAACAATATCTAGTACTCAGAAGTATATGGTTTCTGAATATGAAAGTTCCATTTAGCACTCATGGCTAATGACAGTTCATTTGTCTGCAATCTGGGGGCTGGGAGTCACTGTGTTTCTAGCCTGGTATATACTACCAAGAAAATGTATTTGCTACCATCTATCTTCTTCAGCCTCTGATTTTTTGGTAAGCTGTGCTATTATGCATGTAGGTCACCTTTGCAAGTGGATCACAGGAAGGAGCAATTCTTGTAATAATATGGCCTCTATATGCTACTCCTCATGGAGGTTTTTAAGATGACACACATTTTGAAGAAAGTCCATACAAGCTCACTTAATACTAGAACTAATTCTCACAAAATGTTATTACATTTGCTCAAAGGAATTGAATGAGAACAGGTACAGGATACAGGGAAAAATATCCCACCATGTAATATAGCTAACTTATGGAACTCACTGCTCCAAGATGTTATGATGATGTAAATAAAAACCGATTGATCAATGACTTTAGCCATGGTAGTTCACTAGATCATCCACATTCAAGAGCAGCATTCCTTTGAATAGCAGCTGTTTGGCTGCAAACAACAGAGGACTGTTGCATTCATACTTTGCTTGTGGGATTCCTGGAATCATCTGGCACACTACTTTTGAAAGCAGGATGATCCTTCTGCTTTATTCAGCAGGGCTCTTTTTATGACTTTTTCTGTGGTAACTACATCCTCAACTTCCTCATGACCAATCTGCCCATGTTCATCCTTTGGTTTCCATGCCTATCACACGTGGCCAAATAACCAAAGGCCTCCTCATTCCATGCACAGAATCGCTGCAACAGTTCCTTCTGGACCCTCGTTTTCTAGGATCTCACAAACTTCCCAGTCCTTGCCATTATGCCCATTTCGGCATGCTACCCCTGACCCAAACGCCCCCATCCTTTCCTGTAGCCATTCCTTCTTCAGCCAGAAACATTCATTCAAGCACTCTTGAGCACCTTGGGGAAATACTCTCTTAAAAATAAACAAACAAAAAAACAAAACCCCAGATTATTACTGTTGCCATTCTCATACGAATGAGCATCCCTGTGCCTATGAGAAGCCCCATCCTAGGCCTCTGCAGCAGAGACCCCTGGAGACGCATGAAACCCCTCCCTCAGCAACACACACACACACGGAGACGGGCAGGCCCTACAAATAGCGGGGCTGCAGTCGGGCCTCTTCTCCCACCCATTTCCCCGGGTGGGGGAGCAGGAGCAGCAGCAGGAGCAGCAGCTTCTCCCCGACCCATTCCTTCAAGGAGCAGGGAGGTTTTTTAACTGGTCTGGCCTCCGGATTGCACCCCCTCCTCCCGCCGTCCCCGCGCGCCCCCCGGTTGCCTCACCTGCCAGCGCCAGGATCTGGGCCTTGTGCAGCAGCGGCCGCTCGCCCAGCTCGCGGGGGCTCTCGTCGCCGTCCTCGGGGTCGTGGGCAGGGCTGCGGTAGACGGTGTAGACCTTCTGGTTGTCGAAGTCGAGCCGGGATTTGGGGCTGAAGCCCTGCACGCACGACACGGGCAGCGCATAGCACACGTTGTCCTCCAGGAACCGCACGAAGGCGTACATTATTGTGGCGCGAGCGGGGGGCGAGTGGGGGGGGGAGGCAGCCCGGCGACGAGCTGGCGGGGCGGGCGGGCGAGCGAGGGAGGGAGGGAGGGGGCCGCGCGGCTCGGCTCTCTCAGCCCCAGCGCTTTCTGTTATTGTTCCTGAAAATCCGGCTCGGCGCTCGGCTGAGCCGGTCTAGGCTGCACAGGCTTCTCTTTGCCAAGGCAGCCTCGGGCTCAGGCTGCGAGCAAGCAGCACCAGTCGAGCGCCGAGCGGAGCGAACCTCAGCCTGGCGCGCGTCTCAGAGAGAATCGGCCCGGCGCGTGCGGCGGGGGAAAGCGCCGCTCGCTCCCTTCCAGGGGATGGCGGAGAGCAGGAGGGGGAAGAGGGGATTCCCAAGTTATGGGAGACTTTCGGGAGCATCCCTCCCATCAGCCAGAGAGAGAGAGAGTGCGAGATGCCAGCGGCTGCTCCTGCGCGCCTTGCAGGTCCGCGCTCTCTGCGGGGACTGGGGCGCGGCGGCCCCGATCCTCCGTGCCACGCGCGGCGGGGGAAACTGGGGGCTCGCGGGCGGGGCTGCCCAACGAGATCGCACGTTTGCTGCGGAGGAAGCGCCTTTCTCGCAGGCTCCCCATCGCCGATCCCCATGAGGCGAGCAAATTTTGAGTTGCCCTTGGCGAAGTTCAGCCACAGTTTAAACCCGGCGGCCCGCTGGATGGCCCCTCGGCGGCGGCGGCTTCCTCTCCCGGTGGGAAGGTTGTGAGCCACCCAGAGGGGATAGGCGAGCGGGCCAGTGCCTATTGTTAGCTTGGCCTCTCTCTCACCCACCCGCCGAGGCGAGGAGAAGCGAGCTGTGCCTTGCACGCCCTCCAGTTCCCAGAGGGCTACAGAAGAAGGTGCAAAGGCACTTGTCCCCGCACAAGTAACAGCAGCCGCTTCCTCTCGCAGGGCCCCACCGGCCGCCCAGGCGGATCCTTCCTGTCGCGCCACCCCCAGAAAGGCGGCGGGCGGGCAGGGACGCTTCCCGGAAAGAGCTGCCTCCCACGCTTCGTCTCAGAGACGTAGCATGGAGGATCGGGCCCAGCAGAGATACTTGGAAAAGGAGTGTGACCCTGGCTGCTCGTGCAGGGGCCCGGGGGATCCCGATTGTGCTCTATCCGGTTCAGAGCACAAGTATGGAGCAGCTGCTCCTGTAGGGATCAAACACTGTTCTCTCTTCTTGTTCGATTTTGCTCTCTTAGTAGTCTTGCTTGTCCCTGTCAAATGACAGGACACATGCAGGCTTCAGTTGGCCGCAAGGTACTGTACTGCCCAGCTGTGGACTTTGGAGTTCAGAGAGGGAGCCAGTGCTCTCTGGGTCCCCGGCCGCCTTATTCCACCAGCTAGAGATGAGTGAGTGGCATGGAAGCAGCAATAGCTATTCCTTTCACTTGCCCATCTTGGTGGAAGAACAGGCAGCAGCTATGTGGTGCCCCCTGAGTGGGAAGAGGAGAGAGGAGGAAGTGCCAATGCTGCCCTCACAGGTGACACACTCCTGCGGCACTTCAGCATTCTTCACTCCTCCCTGAGGCAGCTCTTCAAGGCATGGGAATCTTGAAGTTCCCTCAACACCCCTCCCACTTACACAGAGAAGACAGCACCGAGAAAGCAACTCTTGAGTGATCACAGAAATGTACAAATTCATTCAGAATTGCCTTTGGAAAATAGTGTATCTTCCAAATGGTCATAGGTATGTATTATTACACAGTGATAATATGAACCCTTTGGGACATTCTGCTATGAAGTCTTCGCAACATGTCAGCACCTTGAGCTGCCACACAGACCCTTGAGTACAATTTTCTCTGCGAGTATTTGATAGAGAAGGGCCTTTTGCTCTTTCAATTTCCTGGCACCTTTTTTGTGTTATGAATGCACCAACCATTTTAAAACCTCCATTCTCTGTATTACAAAAAATATGCTTGTAACTCCCTCTGATTATGTCAGTGGGTGTATTAGATAGATAGATAGATAGATAGATAGATAGATAACACCACACTAGCTATATGGCTATAACTAGTGTGGTAAAGTATTTAACAGTCTTGGTCTCAGACTTGGGAGATCTGGATTCAAATCACTGCTCACTGTGCGACCTTTGGCCAGTCACATTTTCTCAGGCTAACCTATCATACACCCCAGGGATCTTGCTCTGGGCTCCTTGGGGAAGGGATGAGATTCTATGAAATGAGTAATACATTTCTGCTGTAGAAGTGCAGAAAAACTTTTACTTGGATGTAACTCCCTATGAGTTCAATAGGATTTATTCTCTAGTACTGTATAATGTAGGCTTCAAGGTCATAGGAATACACTTGGATCTATCATCCTTGCCCGTAAGAATGCCTGGGTGGATATGCATTGTAACCATCCATTATCAGCTCTGCAAACAAAGCTTTGTGATACTCTGTGGATCTGCAAAATGGATACAATATAAAAGGAATACAATTTATGAACATAGGCAAAATCATCATGGCCATTCAGAACAAGAAATAATAACAATGCACATTCCTATGGCTGTAGGGGTTGGGGGAGGCTATACTTGTGTCTCAGAATTATTCAACATGAATATAGCAAAAAACTATAATGCAAGACATTGTGCAGAATCATACCCATCCTAAAGCATCATTGCAGCCATATGTAATAAAGTAATGTTTCATAGTAGACTTGCACCACATAATTTAAGCAAACATACTTTACAGGTCTAAGGAAGACAATATACATATACAGCATATGGAAAAGCAGAGGGGGGCATCTGGGTTTGTGCAATTGTGGCAATAGGTAACATAGTAAAATCTGAAATGGTAGATACAGTATGTTCAGCTGCATGATTAAGAGTTGCAAGATGCTACCATCTTAAAGTAAATGAGAGTTTTCTTATTAATTTTAATAAAAGCATTGCACCTGCTCTGGCTGCTTTACAGTGCAATCCTATACATGTCTACTAATAAGCAAGTTCAGTCGGCTGAACTTAAATACCAACATATACCAACAAATACCACCCATTCAAACATTGCATCGATTTACTGTGATGGCGAATGTGAAGTCAAAAAACCTTTGCAGGTCAGAGAAAGTGTAAGGAACAAAGGAAGCAAACACTAACACATTTACTGCTCTGAGCTGGTGCAAGGGCACATCACATCCCTTTGTTTGCTACTAAGATCTGACCCACCCACCCCAAATCCCATCCAGTGGCAGCTACTTCACATACCTGCATTGGGAAACTGCTTCAGGCAGCCTGTTTCAGGATACACAGCAAGCGGAGAGAGAGTGGTCCCTTATACATGATTCAAAGAGCTATCAAATGCAATCTGACTGAACAAGCACTCCATGTTGAAATGCAATTCATACTATTAAGAGGGGACACGGAGCAATAAAGATTTATTTAGAAAAATGTTTCCTACTTTTCTTGCAAAACGCCTTACACACTAACCAACACAACAGTGCTGAAAGACCAGCTTCATCAGGCCTCTTATTTTTCCACAGTCACCCAGCGGCAGCAATCTCATTTAAAAAAAGGGGGGGGAGAATATTCTTGTTTATTAAATGTATATCCTGCACTTCCTCACACAGGAGCCCAGGATGGCAAACAACAAGAAAATTAAAAAGTCCTCCTAGTGGTGCAGCAATAAAACTGCTAGCACAATGCAAAACTAAGGGTTGTGTATGGTTTCAAATTAGATGGAGGACCATGTATTGAGATTCCTGCATTGCAGGAGATTGGACTAGAGGACCCCCAGTGTCAATTCCAACTATAGTTCTATGATTCTATGAAGATAAAATACAAATTCAGGTACAGATGCACACTGGGAAAGATCTCAAAAGTCTTGTTGCAGTGGCAACCTGTACCATTTCACTAAGGTGAAACGGCAAGGTCCCATTTCTACCAAAGCTCCCACACCCCTGAAGCCTCCCTTGCCTGGGAAATGTGGGAGCACCCACAAAGCAGTAATGCCAGTGGTGGGTTCTGGCAGTGCTATTTTTCTTATTCTCTTATCATGGCAATAGCACTCACTTGAGAGGTGTCAGAGCTGAGTTTCAGTGAGTTCTAGCTGGAAAAAAAGCCTTGTGGAGGCATTGTGAGATGTTGTAGAGTGCACAAGATCTCACTGGAAGTCGCAGCTGCTTCCCCACCAGTGGTAGCAGAGTGGGCAGGGTGCTTGCGGGTGCACTGCCTCTTGGGGTTCCACCACCTGAGGCAGCAGCGTCAGCCTGCCTCATGGGCAGGCAAGCCCTGGCTTGTTGAAAGAGGTAGGTTGAAAGGATGACAGAAAAGACAGTTGTCTAATATTTAAGGAGAGGAACTTCCAAAGGGTAGGTGCCACAACACTAAGGTTTGGTTCCTGTATTGTGCAGTGTGAATGTACTGATAAGATGGGATGTGCAGGGGGCTCTAGGCTGCAAAGCAGAGTGATCCATATAAGGGGTGATAACCATCTTTCAGGTATCCTGGTCCCAAGCTGAACCGGGCTTTTATACACTAAAACCAGCACTTTGAACTTACCCCAGTAGGTAGTTGGAAGTCACAGCTAATTAAAGCAGAATTTGGGAGGTGTAAAACACAGTGAGAGCTGGACCATAAAGAAGGCTGATCGCCGAAGAATTGATGCTTTTGAATTATGGTGCTGGAGGAGACTCTTGAGAGTCCCATGAACTGCAAGACGATCAAACCTATCCATTCGGAAGGAAATCAGCCCTGAGTGCTCACTGGAAGGACAGATCCTGAAGCTGAGGCTCCAATACTTTGGCCACCTCATGAGAAGAGAAGACTCCCTGGAAAAGACCCTGGTGCTGGGAAAGATTGAGGGCACAAGGAGAAGGGGACGACAGAGGACAAGGTGGTTGGACAGTGTTCTCGAAGCTAACAGCATGAGTTTGACCAAACTGCAGGAGGCAGTGGAAGACAGGAGTGCCTGTCGTGCTCTGGTCCATGGGGTCACAAAGAGTCAGACACGACTAAACAACAACAAAACACAGAACAGGACAGAGCAAAACTGCTCATCCCTACAGAGAATTTATTGTTGGCATGCATTCTCTCTGGAGTTGTCCTCCATGTTACAGAGCCTCCAGGAGAAGTTGACCATTTACTCTCGCCAGTCCCATGCCATGGAACACTCTGCCAGCAGGGATTTGGCAGACATCCTCACTCTTGACTTCCAGGTGTCTCTTGACATTTTTATGCTGGCAGGCCTTTGCAGATGTTTACATTGATTAGCCAGTCACTCTTATGATAGACAGAGCTCAGAAGCTGGGGAGGTGCTTGGATGGGCAGAACCAGACAAGCCAAGTGGAAGGTGCTTTTAGGCTTTTAGGATCACCACTCTGAGGGGCTACCAGCAATTCCTGAAGTGACACTAAAATTAGGTCCATGAAAATTCTTAACATGAGTCAGAGATCAACAGGACCAATTTCTATTAAATCCTGTTTTCAGTTATAGAGCTCAACTCTGGAAAATGTGCAGTAACAATAAAGAAAGGGGAGCCTTTTGTTCAGTACTGAATTGCAAATAGCCACATCATCACTAGGATTGAGAAAATAATTTATAGGTAGAAGGGTGTGATTTATATAGACCCAGTGTCGCCTTTTCAAATATTGAGCATTATTGTGTGCCTTTATTGGTTTCTAAAAGAAGGGGGGGGACCTCTGCAAGTTTTTAATAACTGTGGCATTAATATTTTTACAAACCCAAAACAGAATTTTTAAAGATATCTTTAAAAAGTGATGCTAACATTAATATGTTTTATGATGGCTCCTACATGGGATGGCATGCAGCCTTTAGAGTGATATTAAGCAAATGCAGCTGTGAAAACTAATAGCAAAAATCTGCATTTTTCCACATTTGCAGCATGTTATGTGCGTTTATAATCTCTGCTGTTAGTAGCATCTCTTACTCATCAAACAAAACTCAGAATATGCTGCCCGCTATTTAAATTCTCTACAAAAATCAAAGCCAGACATTTGAATAAGCAATTTAATGTATACATTTTGATTCAGTTCAGTATTCTGATCATCTCCTGGTTGGAATAGTATTCAGGAGGATGATTGAAGAGAAATACACCACTCAGAATATCAATTGGAATATTCTTGCAATACACTGTTCTGTGAGGATAGTGCAGTACTGAGATTACATTCTACATATAATCAAATTCGGATGCCTCTACACACACTCTTGGTATAACCATTCCTTTATAATGTTGTATGCAAAACACAGCACTCAGATATTTTGAAGCACATACAGTCTTCAGCTACAGCTTTGCCCAAACTGGTGAGGAAATAAGAGTCAATGAGGAGGAAGGCACTGTTGCAGACATGTTGACTTTGTGAAAGGCATCCTTGCCATCTTCATGATTTTGAGAAAGGAGATAGTGTATTACCTTTTTCACTGTAACAGCTGAAGTGTGAAGAGAGGCTGAGTATTTAAATTCAATATAAATTTACACATTGGTTCCTAGTTGTTTGCTGATGACTTATTTAAACCTTGGAAT